TAAGGAACCATCAGGAATGATATTGGCAATAAATTATTGAAGCCCCTATAATATGAGGTTTCTATAAGGCCCCCAGAAGGGTCTTACGAGGTTAAGCTGCACTTAGATCCTAAGCTCCTGGGGGTTTCAGAAAGGGCTCTTACAAGATCGGGTTTTACGTTTCAGGGTTGCCGTCCTAAGGGCTCCATCAGGGGGCTCTGTAAGGGTCTTAAAGAAAGGCTTATGGGGCTTTAGGTTTCAGTGCTTTAGGAGTTGGGGTTTAGGGTTTNNGGGTTTAGGGCTTCAGGGCTTCAGGACTATCCTGTATCTCAAGTAACCCACATTTTGAAGGACTTATATAAGGAAATCATAGGTTTAGGGTTTAGGGTTTATGGAACCATAACAAAGGAAGGCTTCACGGCGTCCAGGTAGGGCCTGGGGTTGGGGGATTGGGAGGAAGCGTAGGGTCTAGGGAACACTGTGGCCAAGTGGGTGATAAGTTGAAAACAGAGACCTTTTTTTGGTGGTTCGGGGTTCGGGGTTTAGAGTTTAGGGCTTAGGGTTTACGGCTTAGCGATTAGAATCATTAGAATATATTAGGATACTGTTCTGGGTGCGCTATCCGTATTGAGGAACCCTCACGAATAGTCTTGGCAAGTCAAGATTGCGGCCTCTATATTCGAATTCAGAGTTTGACGTATAGAAGCCTAACAGCTGCAGTGCCGTTATTGCTGTTTCAAGATTGGTGGTTCTCAAGAACTTTTCTCCAAGTATTATATACTTACAATAAGGAATGTTATACAACTCTATCGCAGCCCAAAAGGATCCTTGACCGTTCAACACCTGCAACACCTGCAATGTGTACATGATCTGTGGTATGTTCAACCACTTCCTTGCAAGAACTGACCGAACCTCGGGGCAAAAACTGAACTTGACAACTCCCGAACCTTAAAACCTTTCAGAAGCGAAACTCCTCAAACCCTGAAGCCACATACTGCATACTGCCAGCAAGGAGTCGTCGGCTACTACTACTACTACTACTA